ACAGTCACTGGAGAGGTGAGATAGGGGCCCGCTGCCCCCAACCAAGTGGGCACCCCGTGTAGGGAAGGGGAAAAGTGAACATTTTTTACGAGGTGGGGGGAAGGGGTGAGGGACTTGGGTTTTCCTTTTACATCAACTCAACGACGTGACGATCCTTTTCATTGGACTGGTTCTGTTTTTGAAAAACCTTCAAAAACAAAAATTCATGTGAAAAGACTGCACGCAACGCATACAATTCATTCATTCCAGAATGACTTGGATTCTTTTTTTCCCCGTCTCATTTGTATTGTACATTCTGCGATGTTATTTGTTCATATTTTCCCGTGCGTAATACACATGTTGAGTATAAAGTACAGTACACAGCCTAGAAAAAAGCATAGCTTTCATCTAAATGGAATTTCTAGTACAGTACTGAATTGTTAAGTCACTTCTTCACAACTGATTTCGGTCAAATATTGTACGATTCAAACTAACATAATTATAGTGCACGACCCATAAAAAATATTATTTTTTTAGGAATCCAGTTTCTGCTGAAAATTACATTAACATCAAAGGCTCCGCACGCCCTGCACGCCTTTGATCTGCCAAGAAAACTACGGTGCTTCATCTTTAGCTTCAGAACAGCAACTGGTCGATGCGTCACACCTCCTCCACAAGTGGAGAATTACAGGCAACACAGTGTGACTGCGGGCCGCCCGAACCAGACAATGGAACCACCGTATTACGAACCACTGCATCCTGCGCCCGCTCTCCAACGGACTGAGCAGTATTAGTCCCGAAGCTATCGCATGGCTCACACTTAAAACTTGGGAGGCGTAATTTGCACAGATTTGCCATACGATAGAAGAAGCGCTGCCCCCTGCTGTTCAGCATGGACACCTACTTTATGATGAACAGTCATCAATATAGTAACGCCGTGGCCTGACATGGGACAAAATATGCAATAGGTGATGTTCCCGACAATGATCCTTCTTCATAGCAAACAGAGAGTCAAGATAGAGACTGCACTTTAAACCATGGGGTCTGATGAGAATTGAATTTAAATGTAACTGCCCTACATTCCTGAGGTGGATAAATCAGAGAAATGGTGAGGTACATAAATACAAAACTAAAATACATACACCTGAAAATAGAAATGGATCGGGTTTGTCAAGCACTCAATAATAAAGCTATGCATTGCTAAGTGTAGGGTGAAGACAACTCTAACGAATGATTGTCATATTAAATATTTCTAAAAACATCCAAATTTGATGGTCTATGAACCACGTAACAGTCCACCAGCAGACACCAAATTATCTCTTATGTTAAAATACATCTGCTCAGACTATTCACCAAGATCCAACATGTTGTTAGGAAAATGTGTTCAGAACTGTTAACTCTTTGTGTAAAGTACAGCACTTTTAATTCAAAACAGAGGCTTTCGATACTTACGTTATGATTCACACAATCAATTACAAATCATACAGCAATGTAGCTGCATTTGATTCATTTAATAATTCAAAAAATAAATTCTCCACGTACATTATCCTTGTGATAAACAATGATAAACACAATTTATTAATGCACACATTTCACAAATCAGAGATACTTTTCAATCAAGAACTCTTGCATATCTTCCCCACAAAACTCGCTTGAGTGTAACCTGTGCTTGTGCACAATTTGGCAATGAACTAAAGTAACCTTACCAAACCTTATCTCAAGCCATTTTAACACCCCAGAGTACAGGATTTCAAAGTGCAGGTTTTTCTGATCTTATACGTGAAAAGACAAAATGTATTATGACTGCTGAGTCATTAACAGGAGTCTACCCAGCAGAGTGCATCGCCTATCTTAACCACGACAGCCTCCTTTGTGAGAACATTTTTTTTTACAACAAATAGATAACTTCAAAAATTGTATACTGGTTTAGTGCATACGTACAACTACCACAAACAGCTTGCCACCACCAACTGGATACACATAGCAGTAAACTGTTTTCAGTGTCCATTAGCGAAGTCTTAAAAAAGTGTACCATGTGTAAAGCTGCACAGATGCATTTAAAGTTTCCAAGTAATTTACCAAGAGATGACATGAATATTATTTAGATTTCTAAGTGACTGTAATGCAGTACTTGCTGTCAAAACAACCCTATTAAAATTTAAATGATCAAAAAACAAGGCGTGAAAAAATCACGTTGAAATAACAAACATCTCAATGTAGCGGGAACCTCTCTGAAAGTATTGAGACTTGGGCTTTCTAATGTAAAAAATCATCATGATCCTTGGGATATGTAAAAGCAAATCCTTTTTGCACTGAGTTTGCGAGAGAAAATCAACTGCCCTGAGGTAAATCAGCACACAGTGAGGGAAAAAAGTATTTGATCTGCTGATTTTGTACGTTTGCCCACTGACAAAGAAATGATCAGTCTATAATTTTAATGGTAGGTTTATTTGAACAGTGAGAGACAGAATAACAACAAAAACATCCAGAAAAAACGCATGTCAAAAATGTTATGAATTGATTTGCATTTTAATGAGGGAAATAAGTATTTGACCCCTCTGCAAAACATGACTTAGTACTTGGTGGCAAAACCCTTGCTGGCAATCACAGAGGTCAGACGTTTCTTGTAGTTGGCCACCAGGTTTGCACACATCTCAGGAGGGATTTTGTCCCACTCCTCTTTGCAGATCTTCTCCAAGTCATTAAGGTTTTGAGGCTGACGTTTGGCAATTCGAACCTTCAGCTCCCTCCACAGATTTTCTATGGGATTAAGGTCTGGAGACTGGCTAGGCCACTCCAGGACCTTAATGTGCTTCTTCTTGAGCCACTCCTTTGTTGCCTTGGCCGTGTGTTTTGGGTCATTGTCATGCTGGAATACCCATCCATGACCCATTTTCAATGCCCTGGCTGAGGGAAGGAGGTTCTCACCCAAGATTTGACGGTACATGGCAGAAAAACACCCCCAAAGCATAATGTTTCCACCTCCATGTTTGACGGTGGGGATGGTGTTCTTGGGGTCATAGGCAGCATTCCTCTTCCAAACACGGCGAGTTGAGTTGATGCCAAAAAGCTCCATTTTGGTCTCATCTGACCACAACACTTTCACCCAGTTGTCCTCTAAATCATTCAGATGTTCATTGGCAAACTTCAGACGGGCATGTATATGTGCTTTCTTGAGCAGGGGGACCTTGTGGGCGCTGTAGTTCTGGGCTGATTCCTCACCGTTCTCATGATCATTGCAACTCCACGAGGTGAGATCTTGCATGGAGACCCAGGCCGAGGGAGATTTACATTTCTTTTGTGTTTCTTCCATTTGCGAATAATCGCACCAACTGTTGTCACCTTCTCACCAAGCTGCTTGGCAATGGTCTTGTAGCCCATGCCAGCCTTGTGTAGGTCTACAATCTTGTCCCTGACATCCTTGGAGAGCTCTTTGGTTTTGGCCATGGTGGAGCGTTTGGAATCTGATTGATTGCTTCTGTGGATAGGTGTCTATACAGGTAACAAGCTGATATCGGGAGCACTCTCTTTAAGAGTGTGCTCCTAATCTCAGCCCGTTACCTGTATAAAAGACACCTGGGAGCCAGAAATCTTTCTGATTGAGAGGGGGTCAAATACTTATTTCCAACATTAAAATGTAAATCAATTTTAAAAAAATTTGACATGCGTTTTTCTGGATTTTCTTGTTATTCTGTCTCTCACTGTTCAAATAAACCTACCTTTAAAATTATAGACTGATCATTTCTTTGTCAGTGGGCAAACGTACAAAATCAGCTGGGGATCTAATGCTTTTTCCCTCACTGTACGAGCAGAGAATACTGCACACTTCTGAAACCAGGCTTCTTACTGTGCAGCAGGTGTATCATGGTCCCCATCCCTGCATGCTCCACCAACCCACCCTCGATTAGCTAAATTTCAATATGACATCATCACACATCATAGGAATTACCCAATAGGCCCACCAACTGCTAAGTTACTGCCTACTGTGTATTTCTGTTTGCTAATACTGCCACACAACATAATATTATTCACATATTATTACACACCTGATGACGACCGTTTGTGTTATGGTCGAAACGTCGTGAGAATTTTTTTATTGTTTTATATATATTTTATTATTTTATTGTTTGCCTTCAACGTGACTTTACCGAAAGAGCTAATAATATGAATTACTGCAGTCACGAAAGCTTTAAATCAAAATATTATTCTGGTCAAGCAAGGACACTACTGGTATTGTTTGAGGTTTTTTTTTAAACTGAGGGCTCCAAACTGTTGAAGATGTATATGGTATATGGTATTGAAATAATAATCTTTTGATTACAAGGTATGGCAGAAAACGTGTCATTTTAAGTTGTAAACGACTACAGATACGTTTACATGTTCTCCAAGCTGTACACGTTCAAAGGTTTGAAAATCCTGTCTTCAAACATCTACACCAGACATCCGTAATTACAACCGAGCAGCCAATATTGGAAAGCCACTAAAGCTATGCACGTTTAAATCAAGATTGAAAACGAATTCCTTTAAAACTGCTGTGTTTAGTTTTGTTGTCCTTCCCCCGCACCTGCAGTTAGCAGTTGGCTACGTAAAATGCGAAAGAAGTTCAATGTACATACATAGCATCTGTAGAGTCAAGCCCAATTGTGTCGCTAAAATATGAAAGCTTACTTGTCATCCAATGTTGCAGTGCATTAACAGTTGGTTGCGAGTAGGGACACCATTCTTGTGAATTAATACATTATTTATCTGGAACAAACTTACGTTCCAATATTGACAAACCTCTTGAGATGAGCATGTTGCAAAGAATGGAACTCACTCCAATGCAAAGTAAGGAAAAAAAACATTCACTCCAAAATTCATAAGCATTTTGAACCTGTCATTGATCTATTTTTTGCTATTTGACACTTAAGGCTGACGGCCAGCTGTGGTGTTTTATAGAAAAATTGTCATCTCTCACACTTCACAGATAAATCTGCCCTATGTTATTTCAGACAGTATAAATAATAAAAAGCATTCAAAGATAAGGTTTCAGTATGTTTAATTGGAAAGTTGGGAAAAAGGGTCACCAATTACGACATACAATATACAACACTTAGACACAACAACATTCAGGCGATAACATTCCAAAAAATACTTGATTTACAAATATGGAGGCTTCTGTTTTACAAGAAGACAGAGCGCCACCTACTGAAACCATAACGGCAAAGAAATAAACAACAGTTGGAATTTAAATACAGTAAAACCTTGGATTGCGAGCATAATTCGTTCCGGAAACGTGTTTGTAATCCAAAGCACTCGTATATCAAATCAGTTGTGATCACGTGACGCTCGGCAAAGCGTATACGTACTACTCGTATTGCAAGACCTCGCTCGTTTACCAAATTAATATTTATTTAAAATGTTTGCTTGTCTTGCAAAACACTCGCAGACCAAGTTACTCGCAATCCAAGGTTTTACTGTATTTCCTATTTTCAATCGGCATATATTCTTCAGAAAAAAAACATGTTAAATACCACCTATAACCAAGCAGCCACCTGATATTTCCCCAGTATGTTGCATGATTTTATGATTTCGGAATGCTCCGTTAAAACGTTAGGTGGTAATTTACACAGGCTGTCAGCAGCGTTAGAACTATGAACAGCTTTGCTGCTCCTCTGGCAGTCTCGAGATTTGCACCTGCAGGTCACGATCTTGTCTCCCAACCTGGATAGGGACCTCCACTTTGAGTCATCAGTCTTGCTTGCCGTCACGCCACTGCCGAGAGCCCTCGTTCCATGCAACGTAAACGAACATGGCCAGCACCACGTGCACCGCCACCACTGCCACGATTGCTGCATAGAAGTAGCTGTCGCGGTTTGACATACCCAATGATCCTGCAAGTGTAGAGAAATGTTATCAGTCACACCGGTGACACTCGCACATTCAAATTCTTAACAAGTCTCCAAAACAATAGCAACATCGCCAAGCATTTGCTACTTGTTGCAGAGATTTGCAGTTGAAGCACCAAATCGCCCTGGTAAGTACTGCAGGTATATTAACATTAAAATATACGCTGTCTGCATCACAGGGAACTTTAAAGATCCCGTGACTTTTTTTTTTAAAGACTAGACCCAGTGTGCCACCGTCATGGTTCAACATCACCCCTTACTAATGCCCACTTTGCAGGCCAGTGTTGCATTACGTTGTGCAACACAGGCATCCCCTACAGATGGGCATTTGAATGAATGGGATGTAAGGCACTTTGAGATGCTAGGGCGTTTGAGCGCCGAATAAATGCAAATCTGGATCCAAATCCGAAGATGTTTACGCCACATAATATAAGGTGGCTGGCTGAATCAGACGGCTAACACTGCGGGCACTGATTGACACCACTAAAATCCAAGTTTAAAATCCTGGCAACTTCCTGTGATTAAACCAGCATTCAAGTAGTTTAATCACAGTTAGCTGCAGTTAAGACTTCACACAAAAAAAACATAATTTAAAATGTGACAATTTACTTTATTTATACAAATATTTAGGTACGCAATGTGATGCATCTCTACAGCACAGCATGATGTGCACTCCCTAGGGTGGATAAAATCCAATTTAAGCACCCTATTAGTTCTGTGATCTCAGCTTTCAAAGATCAATATTTAATTTGAGCGTTCCAAGGGGTTGTCTCGTGTGAGACGTGTGAGGATGCCGACAGCACAACTGGACCATAATTGATAACAAAAAAGTGTAAGTGTTGATGACGATGCTAGTGGTCTTGCTCCAAGGATAAACTTCTCCTGGATGTCCTTCCCACGGCAACGATCGTGCCTCACGGCCACGCTGATAGAGGACTTGAATGCGAGTGGCAAATTCGTCCGTGCATCTGCCCTTACTGTGGGCTTGACTGCACCCAAAATGGTATCCTATTAGTTCGTAATTCCATCTATTTTCCGGGACTTGCACCTCCACGTCTGATTGTATTTATGTTTTCCACGGTAAAAATGATAAAAATATCACCTGAGCATAAGATGATCAAGGATATATTCTTCCCCAGATGCCAGATTAGGCAACCCATAGAATGTCTCCAAAATCAGGAATAACATGTACCAGTAGTTCGGACCCTTCAAGGTATGATGTCATCATATATGTGGTGCTCGCAATACAAATGCAGATCACGTAAAACAGGAATACACCTACCCTCAAAGACATAGACCTTGGTTGCAAAGTAGAGGCCGATAGGCATGGTGATCATGAGGATGGTGAAGAAGAGTAGGGTCTTGAGCACGGGCAGCAGGGAATTGTCAGAGCTGTTGGCAATATGCACGTATTATTTCCACAATAAACCCGTATCAATGACAGCATCCACAGCTTAAATTTGACTTACACGCGTGGAAGCACTGACAATTTAGATTTACTCTGCATTGATTGAAGCAATTAAAATATTTTTCAACAATGGAAACCTCTGTATCATAACTGCGTAAACCATACAGCAATATGGTCTTATTCTTTTGTTAAATATTTGGCTTTTTTTACTGACGATATTGCACAATCAATTTGTTTCAAGATATAAACTCACCTTGTTAAATTATTGTCTTCATTTGTCATTTACTACTTGGTATCATTGACTTATGAAACAGATCGTACATTAAATATTTTAACGACTGCAAAATGTAGATTAGCATCAGCTCTGGTCTGTGTTTACAGCTTACAAGCAGAAGGCTGAAATTCAGAACCAGAGAGGTCTCGCCGAAACCCACTCCATCAGACTTTGTTGGTGAAACAAAGCGCTAACGCCCAGAGGTATGGAAACAGTTCTGCCCAAAAGCGGCTGATTCACGCAGCACTACGTACAGCACACATTGATACATTCAACGTGTTCACTGTACACTTTAGTTAGATAATGAAGTACTGTAACTACAATTTGTATTGGTTACAGATCTGTTATTAAAAATTGTCCTACCATCGGGGATGTCAGCTTGATCTTTTGAGTACAAACATAGACAAACATTATTGCATGGTCCCAGAGATCCCTCAATCAGACGGCGATAAACCTTGCATCACATATATCACCAAATGTATGTGGTGATATAAGTTCAATTAAACTTAAGACACGTTGAATTAAACCGAAGCCACCCATTAGGATACTACACTTGAGACAGCACAGAGCACAGGCTAATTGCGTTTACAAGGTTGCTGCTCTGCGTTCTCGGTCGCGTCTTCCATTCAAACCTGACGCGAGGCCTAAGTCCCCTAGGCTTTTCCCGTCTTGCCTGGATTGCGTGCCGCGTACCAGTCCACTCGTGTTTCCCGACCAAATCGACAAAGAGCGTCTCACCTCGCGCTATCGTCCACCAACACGGCTTTGACACTGGGAGACGACATCTTCGTGAGTGCTGTATATCGTATGTTTTTTTAATATATGTTGAAGTTATTAATTGTAAACGTTTTAAACGCGCTGCACCACGGCACAATCTCGACCGCTTTCCCCAAACAAGGTCACGTGTCTTCGTGATGACGTCGCCGACTTGGCGTGATGGCGCCACGATAGTTGTGACGTCATCACGCCAAGCTTATCATGACGTAATCACGCTAAGCAAGTACAGTGTGATGACGTGCCACTCATAGTCAACAAGGGCCGTTGCGCCGAACCGTTGTTGACCTCTTGCGTGCAGCGTTCGCATCAACTTCTCTTGGCTGCCATGCACCGGCGTCTCGACTGATTTGTAGGGCCCATTCCTTTGAGGGTCGCAGTTCTCACTTCGTAACGTCGACTGCCAACCGAAGTGATGACGTCACCAACGTGAAAAGAAGCGTGATGACGTTTTCCGCACGCACGGCCGTTTGCGTGATGACGTCATGCACGGAGACTATGACGATGCTGTGGTTGGCCACGCGGTGGCGTGACCGGAGATAGAAATAACAGATGGATTCGTCCATCTGAATAACTGCCAAATCGCTCTCCGTGATGCTAACGTAAAAAAAAACGCCACTTTTTTAAAATGTTCTTGCTGTGGTTTTCACACCTGATGATGTTGCAGTCGAACGTCGTGATAATTTTATTGTTTCATATTTTTATTTTATTGTTTCCCTTCTACGTGACTTTACCGAAAGAACCAAGAATATAGCTTAAAGAGACATAATACTTTCGTGACTGCAGGAATTCATATTCTATGGTTCTTTCGGTAAAGACACGTAGATAGAAAGAAAAATAATAACAGTAAAATAATAAAAATAACGTGAATAAAAAATAATAAAATATCACGACGTTTCGATCGCAACACCACTTATTATTTTTCTATCGATGTGACTTTACCGAAAGAACCATAGAATATAAGCTTCAAGAGAGCAGACGGTTGTACATTATTAACTCGACTCATTTACAAACCCGCAGCACCATCACAACTAATATACATTCATGCCGACAAGTAAATTGTAAAATAGTTTGACTCAATAACCACTCAAAGCAATACCATGTGGAAATAAATGGACTCCTTTCAATACAAATATTTGAAATAATTTATTTAAAAACAGTCCATTTATCCGTCTCCACATGAAAAAAATTCAGTCCATCAGCCGCACGGCCTTCTGGAAGTATATAATTTCAGCAGCGTTTTTTCGAGACAAGCAAACTCTGGACTGGTTTACAACGTGACTTTACGTGACTTTACCGAAAGAGCTAAGAATATGGGTTTCATTGTCTTCATGCCTGCTGGGCTGCCGATTAGTCGGCGTATTCATTCTTCCGATGCCAAATTTACAAGCCATTCTCCTGTGGAGGCCGACGCCCGTACCCCCGCTGGGCGGGCCGGGCGCGACCTCCGCCCCCTCCCCTCCCTCCAACCCCCTCGTCGCCTCTCGCCGGGCCACCTCCGATCGGGTGATCGCCCCCCCCGCCGCGCCAGCGCCTTCTCTGAGGGACATGGCTCACTGGCTGGCTCACCACCGCCCGGGGTTATCCCGCACACTCCCGCGTGCACCAACCTCACAACAACAAGAAAATGAACGCGGGGGCGTGAACGCGCGCGCCCCTGCAGGCGCTCGTTTCACACACTCGCGCGCGCAAACACACGCGAGTGTCGGCGAGCGGGTTTAACGCACCCCGCCCCTGCCCTAATACTCGCGCGGCACGGCTGCTCGGACGCGGGCACGTCGGCGGCCGTCTATGTTTTAATACACACGCGTGCCTCGCACACACACACTGCTGTTGCTCTCTCGCGCACACCGTCTCCCCGCGCAGTCGCACCACACACATAAATCGCAGAAACCAGGCCGATGTTCTACCCACACACACAGAAATAACACTGCACCGATACTTTGTACTAAAGTTTATTAATGGTGCAAATACACACTACCTAGAGAGGGGATATTTTGCGAGAAGAGCTTAGCCTAACTCTGCCTACGAACCCAGTCACTCAAACGTCCTACCACGTACCTCGTAGCTGTACTCACGGCGTCGCACGGACGCTGTAAGAGTCGGAGGGAGAAGGACGAGAGAAAACTTCATCTATCACTGCCTCATAACAGCACTCGCTGGCATCACACAGATGCTGCGAGCGACTCGAGGAGGCAGGACGGCAGGGAGTGGGTCTTGACGGCCCGGAGGTTGAAGACAACTGCCCAAAATCGTCCCGGGCCACTCTTTCTATTCCCTTAAACTTCAAAGGCCCAGGGTGACGCCGCCCAGTGCAGCAAATCGTGCGCTTACCTGTGGTTACCGCCCCCCTGTTTCCGCGTACTCCGTGTTGTCGGCCAACCATTGTCCCTCCTTGCCCATTGTCTGGAAGTGCACCCGGCTTACGCTTTTCTTGCTTAATATTCCGCCCTCCGTCCTCCCCCCCAACGTTGTAACTCATTGCGGTTGGCCCAGTGAACCTTTCCTTTCTGCGCCCGTACAAGTTTAAGCCAATTTTAGAGGCACCGCAATGTAACCTGTCCTGTGAGGGTCGGCCAATCTCCTGGCAACTGGGAAACCGTGGGACTTCCCTTCTAGAGGCCCTTCGGATTAAAACCCGCCAGGACACTACGTGGGTGCGCTGCGTGCGTGTGTTTGTCTAGTGCAGGGGCCGGGAGGGATTCGCAGCACTTGCGGAGTCGCTCCGCGGTCGTGGCACGACACTCCCAGTCTCTTCCTCTTGCCTACCTTTGTATTGAAAGCACCCATTAACAGTGTTTTTTTTCCTTTCATTTAGAAGTTTGTGAATATCTTCATACATGTGGTCTACTTCTACATTTTCATGACTTGTTGTTGTAGCATTTATTTGATTTACCTAATCGGGATTTGAGACAATGCAAATTAGGTGACAATTTTAAGTACCGTATTTTCCCGCATATAACCCGCGGGGTATACCACTTTTTACAAACAAAGCAAGACCCTGCGGGGTATATGGAGGTGCGGGCTATCCCAGAAATATTTTACACGTGTGACATGTCGTAACTCGTTTAATGTGTTCATGGTAGGACTATCCACTATGCAACACTTCCCTTTGACTAAAGCACTGCTGAATAAGCCACTCACACTAAAATTGTACATGTTATCACGTTTTAAATTGTGTGTACAATTAAACGACAATGTTTGAAGTGCACGCACTGTTTACCGGCAACGGGAGAGCTCGGGGGAGAGAGAGGTGGGGGTTGGGGGGTGGGGCAGCTGGGGGGAGAGAGAGGTGGGGGTTGGGGGGCGGGGCAGCTGGGGGGAGAGAGAGGTGGGGGTTGGGGGGTGGGGCAGCTGGGGGGAGAGAGAGGTGGGGGTTGGGGGGTGGGGCAGCTGGGGGGAGAGAGGTGGGGGTTGGGGCAGCTGGGGGGAGAGAGAGGTGGGGGTTGGGGGGTGGGGCAGCTGGGGGGAGGGAGAGGTTGGGGTTGGGGGGTGGGGCAGCTGGGGGGAGAGAGAGGTGGGGGTTGGGGGGTGGGGCAGCTGGGGAGGAGAGAGAGGTGGGGGTTGGGGCAGCTGGGGGGAGAGAGAGGTGGGGGTTGGGAGGTGGGGCAGTTGGGGGGGAGAGAGAGGTGGGGGTGGGGCAGCTTGGGGGAGAGAGAGGTAGAGGTTGGGGGTTGGGGCAGCTGGGGGGAGAGAGAGGTGGGGGTTGGGGGGTGGGGCAGCTGGGGGGGAGAGAGAGGTGGGGGTTGGGGGGTGGGGCAGCTGGGGGGAGAGATAGGTGGGGGTTGGGGGGTGGGGCAGCTGGGGGAGGGAGAGGTGGGGGGGTTGGGGGCGAGGCAACGGCGTTACCGTAGTGCCGCTATTATCTGTGCAGTGCACAATCTACCAGTGCTAAAACTACTTACTTATCTACCAGTTATGTTACTTATTTATTGGATATTTACTTTTGTTACTTATTTACTGTTTTAAGTTCACTCGTTTCCGGTTAGTTTGTTTTCTTTGTGCACGTTATGATTTTAATTTTAACAAATGATAGTGGAATGTATTACAAATGTAAACTTCGTATTAATATGATGGAATTAAGCTGCGGAAACGACGTTAAATATATGAATTCATGCGGGGTATATGGAGGTGCGGGCTATCTGAAATTTGTTTTACACAAAACGCTATTTTTGTGGGGTATATGCGTCTGCGGGTTATATGCGTATATGGGCTACATGCGGGAAAATACGGTACTTGCGATTCCAAAAACTATACATGGATTGAATGCTGGTGTCCTTGAATTTCAGTAATTGGATGATGAAATTGCACAGAGTAAAATACTGTACTGGATTATCAGTATCTGCATTTGATAATCATCTGATTAAACATGCTATGTGTAACACTCATCACTGCGCAACAATTATGAACAGCATCAGCAGAACGTGACAGTGATGAATTGGAATACAAAGCAAGCGCTCAAGTGAAACAAACCAGCCCATTCCAGAAATGTTTATTCTCTACACTCCAACATGATCATCTCATGAGGTCTTGTGCAAGCAAGCTAGCAATTTAAAACCACAGGAAGCAGTACAAATACTGTATAGGCATCCGACAACCAAGAAATAACATGAATAAAAATATAGGACTTATGTGTAAGATTAACGACGGTACTCTCTCATCCGTTAATTCTATGAGATTGCATACTAACACAGCATTCGTTTAGGTCTGTGCAGCATCCTGGATTTGTAAGGTACATGTGCGATACATATCATGTATGACACGAATGCTTTAGAAATACATAAGTGACCATGAACATATAATGTAATGCTATGCGACCAGATGACCAGATTGTACTGTGGTTGACGATCTGAACTTTCATTCCGGCTGAGAATCAAAAATACAAAAGAGTTGAAAATCAATACTAATTTTCATCCTGCAGCAGCCCTCATCCGTTAGTGGATTGGCCATGGTTAATGACGTTTGTGTCATTGGTCCTTGTAAAACATCAGGTGCTCAAGATGCCTGCATTTTGATTCATGACCAATTGTATTTAAGGAATGGTTTGCTTGTAAGAAGGAATGTGAGTATCCAGAGAAAATCTACACATCGGATGGTTCACCAAGCTATAAGCTGCACTGCAATCTCCTGGACAGCTGGTTTTTGGAGTTTAACCAAACTATTATCTGCCCCAACTATTGCGTTCAAATCCCTGGATTAGTTGCTATACACTATTCCCAAGCCAATTTTACAATGGATTATTTTATTTTTTCAAATCAGGACTGATATAAATCACATATTTTCTGCACTAGAGAAGAATGAGTTTATATTATGCTTTTAACCAGGTATGCCCAGGACGGCATAAAATTGGGTTAAACTTGGCCAGGTGACTTGTAATCAGTGACTCAGAGGTGTGGTTGGAGGGTCCCACTGAGATCACATCTGATGCACAAATTGAAAATAAAATAAAGCTCCAAATGTGACTGCCGCTCTATGCCTCAAACAATGGACCATACCACTGCCATAGATTGTCCAATGGAGAAAGGAAGGAGCTACAGACTGCCTCTACAAACACCGTCAATTGGCACAATAAACTGAACCTAAATATCGAAGCTTATTTTTTAACGTTTATATTTAGCCACATGCACAAAGAAGTATATTATCTTGTGTTTGCGAGGTCTAAAACTGTCAAATATATGTAATATAAATGCCGAGTAAATGCTTTGCAATATCACACGTGTTTCATTGTATGTGTGTTGAACTTATTTTGCACCGTACGTAGCCAACCGTGCTAACCGGAGGTGTGTGTGCTCTACATTGCACAAAGTAATTTGTCGATCCATTGTTTTATTTGGGATATGATTTACACATATAGCAAAGGCTGAAAAAGCAAAGTAATTCTCATGAAAATGATGCCTCCGTTAGATTATGTAAGGTGTTGGATCCTTAGAGCTGTCACACATCTGGATGTGGACATGGGAGGTGATTCCAGGGTAAACGCTCTGCATTTTCAGCAGACGCCCAACTTTATGGCCGCTGGAAATTGAGCCGGTATAGCGGTCAGGATGGATGTAGAAAATCTTGATGCAGAAGTCTGGAGAAACACAAAGAGTAAAACAGGAAATGTTACACGTACTTTTAAACAAGTACGATTTGTCGTCCGCTTGTAATGCAAGTGGTGCGTTGATTGCTATTTACGAGCGAGCTTCTGATGCAGGCGATGGTTATTCTGTACTTCCTCAGCTGGCTAATTATCGCCTTTGGGTAACTGATTACCTTTCAGGGTGAAAACATTTCCAAGTTGTGAAACGGTATGTGTTCCCCACGTATATATTGGGTGCCTGACGGTCGTAGCTAACATGAATTTGGCTGCCTGGCACGGAAATTTGGACAAAACTCAGGGCCGGATTAAGGTTCTTGTAGTCCTCAAGAACTTCTGTTTCGTAGGCCTTCAGTGATAACTTTATACAGTTTGTACTGCTTCCTCATGTTAATATCGCCGCTGTCACTCGCTTGTACTTTGCCTAACCGCTGGACAGATGTCATTACTGATACGTTCACTATTTAGTCTGTGCCCTAATTTGATGGGAGCGCGCTGTGTACCGCAGATAAGCAGATTTGATTTGAAATTATTGAGAGAGAAAAACCAAAGTAAGCCAAAAAATATTATCCGCGAAAATTTCTTCAACAATTTTTTTGCTTTGATTATCATATCGGATGACGCAGCTTTTAAAAGATGCCGTTCATTTTAATCGATAGCATAATTCAATGTTCTGACAGGATGACCGCATGGCAAGCGCCATGTTTCTTTACTTCTGTTGAAGATTAAATATTTGTTGTGACTGTTATTTTAGATGTAATATGCCGCACTTACAACGAGTCAACGACTTGTTACCACTGCAAATAAATTGCAGCAAGCAGCGACATAAATATATTTATTCAAGAATATACCTTAGTTACGTTTTTTTAAAATATATATCATACATACAAACAAAAAACAACATGGTCATTTTAGTTGGTAGGCCCTTTAGTTTTCGTAGGCTCTCGGCACAGTGCCTATTGGATAACATGGCCCTGGCCAGACTCACCATGAAGACACGAGGGGATGCTGGATGACCTTGGGTGTGCTTAAGTGGAAAACCTGTGCTTTTTTAACAGCGCATCAGGGCAGCTCATTTGTGCCATGGAGTAGGGCGATAGAATCTCCCTGCTATGAGTTGCCGCATTATGTGTTGCTTCGCATATAAATGACTAATTAATGAGGAAAACATTTCATCGTAAAGTTTTGCAAATGCGATCCTAAAAAAAAAATCGCGCGCATTTTTGCCCAATATTTAATCGAGGAGGGAAGCTGGACTCCAACAATGTGGAGGAGTCTGGCTCAAATGTGGTGGAATTGCTCAAGTCCCATGGGGAGGAGGGGAGAGGGGGCGGAGGAGGAGGATCTGATGCAGCTGCAACAAAAATGAGCTGAGGAGGAGCCAGATAAAACAATACCTCTACAACGACCACCACCACTGCCATTCACTGCTACAAGGAGCTGTACAAAGAGAAAAATAAAAATGCTGCCCAGATGTCTTGGGACAGATTTATTAAAACGTTCTGCAATCAAGCGAGAATGTCGAAAGAAGAGCCCAGAAGAGAGTCAGCTTTCTCTGGTGAACTGTTGTATACTGTATGTGCCTTTTTCCAAAGAATGTATATTAAGAATGATTCTGCCATTTTTTTTAAAGTTTTATCTGGATGTAGCGCGGGGGCGTGGAGGGGGGGTCACCCCTCACCCCGCTGCCTCTTGCCTCGCCACACAAAAATTCAGAGGAGGGTGATGCCATAAAATGTAATAAAAACCCCGGTGCAAGGGGGGGGGGGGGTGCTAATGAGACTCTGGGAAATCTCCATCGGGCTTTAAATACCACCATAGAGCACGGACAAACAGGAGGGGCGGTCGGACCATTACAACTGGCGGTTTTCTTTCTAGCAAGGGTAAAAGTTTGAAACTTAGCGATAAGAATAAGTCGACATTATAGACTGCCAGTACACTCACTCAGATTAAGAACCAGGCTGCAGTCCACATTAGTGGCTATTATTATTACTTTTATTTGATTTTATTTTTATTCGCCTTATATTTAAAAAAATATATTTTTCTATCTACGTGACTTTACCCAAAGAACCAGAGAATATGAATTCCGGCAGTCACGAAAGTTTAAGTCAAAACGTAGTTATATCTTCAACCTCAGGATATCAAAATATAACTCGAGAATAAGAAGCACGGATCCCTGGCGACACAGACGGGGAACAAAGGTTACTAAAACCCTCGGAATACCTGTGGGAACAACTATGGTATATCACGAATCTTGGTTAAACATAAATCAATTAATAATTATGAAGTATCAGACCTGGGGCTAATTCAGAAAAGATGCAAGGCGCAATAGGTCAATCACACACGACCAAGATAATATGTATTCCATAGGATCAGAGCTTCGCCAACCGCCTTTGTCTTCCAGCGGCTGCCACTAGACGTGATAGCAATAAATTACATATGAAGATAGGGCACCTCCCCTTGAGATAGCAAACACCAGGAAGAAACTAAACCACGAGGTGGGGGGTGAACGCAAACCAGAACATAAACATGGTGATGGAAAATCAAGGTCAAAAGGGACCCCCTTTCCCCAACCCCCCGCTTCCAGATGAATTATGGCAGGAGATTGGAAAACCAGCCGCTCTACTCGGGGGTGGGGAGGGGGGCAACCAATCAGCTGCACCCACAGGCTGAGAGCAAATCAAAGGAATTCCGGTCCCTTGTGAGGAGGCGAGCCGAGGTGGGAGATTTTTCGAATATAACGACGAGCAGAAACCACGCACATCAGCACTGCGAGTGGCAGGCTCCGAGGCATGGCCTCGAGATCAACCATGGGCGTCGTGTCTCGCAGAGGAAAGGGACGATGTATTGTTAAGAGCCGAGTTCGGCACGGACCGACAGAGTATCGCTGAAAGTTTTTATTCTACATCTACCCTTATGTTTTGAGTCGCTTGCTGAGTCGAGGACTGCGATAAGTTGTATTATGCTAAGCAATCAGAGTTGTGAGAAGCTAAGAGGGTGCTAATACAATTCACGAGTTTTGAGAGTGAGTGATCCTGCCAGCGACGAGCAGCTCACAGCAGGAGCCCTCTTGGAAACAGGGCGGAGAGCACGAAAGTTGAAAAATGGCGCTGCACATCAGCATAATTTGCATAATTGCATACATTTGCATAATTTCGTACAATTACAGATTTGTTATATTCATTTATTTTTTTAAATTATTTTCCAAGACCTAATATATACAACAGAACATTCCTGTGGCCCCTGTGTCATCGTCAGATGAAGAAGCAGGTAATCCTGCCCCTTCGTCTGAGTAACTTCACTACTGCTCACCCCAAGAGGACTCGATCAGCAAAGCTCTTAAGCCATCTCTGTTACGATTGATCTAATTATTTGTATTTATTATGAATCATACTTAATGTTCACTTATGATATGCATGTTTGTACTCTTCATGACATTTAGTCACGCATTTTTTTTTACAGAAATGTTGGGGAGGAACAGAACCCCTGATTTTAACGTGTCTGCAGGAAACCAGAGTATGCTTTAAGTAATTTCGAGTGATGTAGCATTTTCCAGGAATGTATCCCTTACACATAGCGGGGGATTCCTGTGCATTTTTTTTAAGGCAATATAATTGATGAAGGTGTTGAGGATTTATTTTTGTTAATTGTGCACCACTGCTGACAACATCAACACATAACGTGTTTACCCTGGTGCACTGCGAGATGAAGGATTGATCAAGAATGTAGAATTACCATCGTTGTAAAACTCCACTCCATCATTGATGGCATTGTTCTTCTTGTAGGGCTTGGCCTGGCGTTTCACTTTCCCTGAGAATGGTGCATTCACGACAGAGCCATCGGGGCACTCCACGTCCACTCCCATGTGTTTGTGGCCAGTTCTGTAGTAAAGGAAAGAGGTCACATTCTGCATGTTAAAATATAGAGCATATAAGAGGTACAGTTCCTATGTGACCTTGATTAATTAACAATGCCAAGTAGATTATGTATCTAAATAATAGAGCTTTAATGCACAAGTGAGTACAGTATTGTTATCATGCTCATCATTGCATTGTTTGTTGTTGTAACTTGCCGACCCGCCCCTACTGAGCATGTGAAAAAGAGCTTCATAGCTCATCAGATTCCTGCAGGATAAATACAGATTCTGATTGCTGATGACTCTGAACTAATGATGAAAATATGGTTGGAGTCACCCCCCCCCCTCCCCCTACATAGGACATACAATGTTCACTTCCAGCATAATGGTAGTCATTCATTAACCATGGAGAGTTCATGGCTCTGTCGGCATGGAATTGCACATGCATCTTTCTGGTTATGTCACGTGTGGAAACCAGGGGGTGGTAACTTTTTCAAAGCATTGGCCACATTTGGAATCTCTTAGCTCCACGCAGGCCAATATTGTCACGTGAAAATGAGAATTGAGCCAAATGTGCAAAAACGGCGATCATAAAAAAATGCATAATGGTATAAAACACATGCATGAATGAGTAATGCATCCCTAAAATGTCGCAAGTACATGTTGCAGTAATCACAAACTAGCCATCACCTTAAATGTATGAACTATAACTGGAGGGCGCTAGGGATAATTAACGGTTCAAAACATGAATTCGATTACACTCAACGGACACCCCTGTTGTGAAAAAAAAATACAGGAATTGTGGACTGAACAATTTAATTGACCTACAAGGACTAAATTAATTGGCCTCGTATAGCCCCAGTGTGTGTGTGACCGAGTGAATGAGGAGTCTTACCGACGTGCCCCATAGCTACCACAACCATATTTGTCGCAGCCTCTCAGCTTGTTGGCCGTTTGGCCATCACAAATCGTATTCCACTTTACATTGCCGGTCGCTGCTGCTGCTGCTAAATTTGAACACAGAGTACACGTTTCGTTACAGAATTGCACATTCAAAACATTATACCCTTTGTTTTTTTCGGTAAAGTCACGTAGGTAAAATTTAATTTAAAATTAAATAAAACTAAATTAAATCACGACGTTTCGGAGGCAACACAAGCTTCCGTCTTCAGGTGGAACAGTCACAGCAAGATAGCTGCATCATGCATTGATTTAGTTGTTTTCTTTTCTTTTAAATTTTATTTTACCTACGTGACTTTACCGAAAAAAACAAAGAGTATGAATCCTTGCAGTCACGAAAGCTTCAAATCTAGAATCAAAACATATTCTCTATGGGACCTTTTTGCCAGTATCAAAGTATGAAAAATAAAAATAGGTTTGACCTTTTCTGGCAATAAAACAGGAGGCGTTAAGATGTTCAAACACCAAATATAAACCTTTTGCAAGGAATGAAGTTTACTGTATTAACCACACACACGTACTTGTGGCAAAACATGCAAACAAACATCCACTGATAATATTTTCATACTTTGATACTGGCAGAAAAGTCCCATATATAGATATTCAGTGTACCTGCTCAACCCGAGTTATAGATGCTCTGATACTTGTGTAGTGGATTAACACGCGCATACAGGGAGGATTGTAAAGACGCGCGAGTTATGGCCAGTGGGTTCGTGTCGGACCGGACAGGTGCGGCGTGGGGGAACGGCAAAAAGGGAGACGGACCCAATAAGTTGGTATGAGATGCATGGCGGTGATTTGCCGGTTGTTGTTATCAGCGGCAAAGTGGCGCCGCATTGTCGGGAGATGGGGGGGTGATACGACAGGTGGCAGGGACAAGAGGCGTCGTGGGAACGCCGCTTAATTCATTGATAAGTTAACTAGGAGGTGGATATATTCGGGGACGAGAGAGCGGGGAGTTGAGTTGTCGCTGGGGACTGGAGCGGAGCAGGTCGGAAGGAGACAGAGACGAGACAGAGACAAGGAGAGGCAAGGAGAGACACAGAGAGAGAGAGATAGAGACAAGAGACTGAGACAGGGAAAGACAGAAGAGAGACGGAGAGAGACTGAGATGGAGAGAGACAGAGTGAGACAGAGATACGGAGTGAGACAGAGTGAGAAGAGATACATAGTGAGACAAAGACAGATACAGAGTGAGACAAAGACAGTGAGGCAGAGACAGAGCGAGACAGAGATACAGAGCGAGACAGAGATACAGAGCGAGACAGATACAGAGCGAGACAGAGATACAGAGTGAGACAAAGACAGTGAGACAGAGTGGGACAGAGACAGAGCAAGACGGAGTGAGACAGCGACGGAGAGAGGAGAGAAACAGCGAGCGACGGAGAGAGGAGAGAGACAGCGAGAGACGGAGAGAGACAAAGACGGAGAGGAGAGAGACAGCGAGAGACGGAGAGAGGGAGTGGAGTGAGCGAGGCAGGCGGAGCACGGCGAGAGAGCAGAGAAACGATGAAGTCACGGGTGTTGGATGCCGAGAGTTTGTAATAAAAAGTGAAGTCGTCCGTGTGAAGTCAACCACTACACTCGCATTGGCTTTGTACTCTTTCGCCTTTCGGCATTCTCTGGTCTGGCACTGGTGATTCAAGTCCATAAAGAAAGCTGTCTCTGGTGTAGTAGGCCAGTCAGTTTCAAAGATAATGCATATATTATCAGAGCATGTTTGTTTGCATGCTTTGCGACAAGTACGTCTTCACTTTTTGCTTGTTTGTCACAAGAATTAGCTATATTTTGCAAATGTTATTACAAAATAAGCCGGAGCGTATCCATACTCAAAACGAGCATTGGGAAGTGTTCATCAGTAATAGTAGTCCATAAGCCAGTTCTGGAAATTCTGCATTCCGATGGTGCAGGCCAGGCACTCTATAAAATAATGGGACTTTTGTAAGTGCCGGACTTCGTCCCCGGGTATCAAGGATGACACGGAGACCAGGTTCTGTTCAGGGCTGCCCGGCGTTTCTCCCTTCTCTCTCTCTCGAGGCTACCCCGCACGTCTCCGCAACAAGCCCCCCTTTTCCCCGCTCCCTACAACTCTCTCCTCTCTCTGTCTCTCTGTCCCTCTCCTCTTCTGGTCCCACGTTTTTATATTCCCCTTCTTCGGTACTCATCCTTTTCCGTCCCCCTTCCCGCGCTGGCCCCTCGGTCGTTCCTCGCGGCATTCCTCTACACTTTTATAAAACTTTGAATTATGTTTTTTTTCAATATTCTCTAGCCAATAAGTGCATACTAACAGCCATGGCGTGGATTCAAAACATGACATCTAACAAGAGCACGGGGAATTCGTTCTAAAGAGTACACTTAACATTTAATAAGTGTCAAGAAACAATGCAAATCGGAGACATTTCCTTCAGATAAAAACAAGTCGGCTTGGGCAGGACACCAATTGTCGAAGGGATGGTGGCCAATGTGCATGGCCATCACGATGGAATGTAAGCGGAGACGAAGAGTCGTGGGATCAGCATCGGTACATCTACAGATGCAAAGCTGTAGCATCCCAGGACCGTGATGTTTAGCGGCAGGAAGGGGGAGGAAGAAGAAGCCTTCACTCAGCAGTGGAAAGAAACACTGCTGGAAGTTAGTAATGCTAAACAACAACAACAACAAAAAGTGGTGCAGCCCTCATATGCCGTCCAACTCTTACGCATCAGGAGCACACATTGGTGAAATTCGGTGAATTCCCCTCGCCAACTTTGAACCCGCGCTACACGCGCACGTACGGGGTCATTTCACATCGACCCCCTTGCAGCAGACGACGCCGCTCGCATCCCGCGTCGTGTAAGGAGTGTTGCCACGGCGAGTGAAACGCGGACTCACGCATGCAGCACTGCCGGTTGGCGGGTCCTCCGCACCTGCCCTTGACGTTCTTTCCGTGGCACGCCACGTCGGTGTACTGGCACACGCCACCATCGCCCTCGCAATGCGCGTCCTTTGCGTAGGCGGCAGTAGCCAGACCTGAAAATGCTTATTGGTTCAATAAAAAAAAACAATAATCAACTTTTTTGCCCGTACAGCAAAACCTTGGATTGCGAGTAACTTGGACTGCGAGTGTTTTGCAAGACGAGCACACATTTAAAGTAAAAATCAATTTGATAAACGAGCGAGGGTCTTGCAATACGAGCGGTACGTATATACGCTTTGTCTGCCGAGCGTCACGTGATCACAACTGATATACGAGTGCTTTGGATTACAAACACGTTTCCGGAACGAATTATGCTCGCAATCCAAGGTTTTACTGTATTATCATTTTTTTGTTGTTGTTAAAGACTGAAAATATTTCACCTTTTTGAGACGAGGTTTGAATACTATTGCATAAAGTACACACTGGCGCGGCACGGTGGACCTGCACTGTGCTATTTATACAATCACGCCTCGAAAATGCACTCCGGTTATTTGCAACAACAAAGTACATGAGAACCTACCAGGACCCAAAAGTAGAATGAGGACGAGGAGACTCATGATCACGCCTGAGTTGAGTTGTTGCTGTGAGACCAACAAGACGCAGTGCCCGTCGTGTGAGTGGCTGCACGCTCACCGACTTCGCCTTCACTCGTGTGCTCCACTTTATACAGCTCACACACGGAACAAGTTATTCCGCGTGTTGTTGTAACGCCCCAGATTTTGTCCGACGATGTTACGTAAATAAATGGACTGACGCCGTACGGCACACCGTGTGTCCTCCGGTCGCACTTCCTCCTCTTGCAACAGCTGCTGCTGTTGTTGTTGGCGTGGCGCCACGGCTTGAGTATTCGACAAGGAGTGTAAATCATCATGCGAACTCCGGCCATTCTCACAGAAGCGAGATGTTGGATAGCCATCGAACAAAGACGGGTCACCGCATCGGGCGTTTTCAAGATGCGCTTCTGCGGCCGTCTGGAACGCTCTCCCTTCCAATGTTAGGAAGCCACTGGAGCTATGCACTTTTAAATCGGCTAGATTGAGAACGTATTTTTTTGAATTGCTTTTTGTGTTTAGTTTGTTGTCCTCACATCCCACTAGCACGTTTGGCTAGGTATGGTACGAAATTATTTTTACATGATATACAACAGAAGACACCGAGCAACAATGGAATTTAGAGCAAATTACTTGGTGATACCGCGTTGGCAGAAGTGCACATGCACACACATTACAAAAACACACATTCGTCAATAACCCTGCCTCAAAAAGGAAATATACGTAACGATTTGGACAATGGTCCTTCATAGCACATCTAGAGAGATAGGGCACGAAAGAAGTTTAACATACATGAATACGGACAGTCCCCGACTTACGTACACAATTCGTTCCCGGTGTCTGTTCGTAAGTCGAACGGTTCGTAAGTCGGGACACAGTCATCTACTGTATTTAAATGCCTAAACACACAAGCACTCAATCCCAGCAGGAGGCTGACTCATTTACATCTCGGGGAGGATCGCTCAGCTGGGAGGATCGCTCAGCTGAACAAAATAGTGCCGTGGTTCAATTTGTAAGTAAGAGTTCGCGTGTTAGGTCAATGGAAACTGGTTCGTAAGTGCGAGTGTTCGTAAGTCGAAGACTGACTGGACATAATTTTGCTCTTTGCGAAGTCACTGAATTTTTAAACCGCGATGACAAAGTCTCCCGCGCTCACTGCTAAGCTCACAGCGGTGGTGTTTTGGACTCATCGTTGTGGCACGAAGAGCAAGTACTTCCTTGAGGCACTTGGCCAGCGCGCTTGCTTCAGCACGTGACGGTGACGGACACTGATGCAGATCAAGGAAGCAAGGGCATTTGTTGCGAAACTCCAAAAACATCCACGTTGACGTGCGTGGGGCAGTTTTCCTGCATCCTGAAATCCATCGCGCGCAGCGGCATTAACCTCAAACATCTGTGGTTAAAAGTAAAGAAATTTCGGGAATCTCAGGAGTTGAAGGGTTTTCTACGACTGAAACAAAGCAGCGAAACCGTGACGGGTGTCGACTGGAGGGCGCACTAGAGAGCCCCCTCTGGAGGGTAATTGCCCTACTCTTCCACGGTGACCAGACGTATTGAAAGTGGTGGGATTACCCACACTTTGCCCCACCACACGTGACCTGCCAATCGACTGTGGGACGTCAGAAAACGTTGTTTTACGACCTAAAATCCAACACTGTTTAAAGGTCTCCTTTCCGCTATCCCCGGTCGCCAAGACCGCATCAGCACATTACATCATTGTGATATCAACACGACCATGCACCGCAATACCCGGGACATCGAGGGGCTGCTGTGGCGCCGGCCTATTGCACATTCTCCTGGTGGTCCGCATCTTTCACGGCTAAAAAACTCTCTAACGTTTGTGACACACCGCGGAAGTGTGAATGAAGGTCGCGTCTGTGTGGCATGTCGATAACGCTGGCGTGGTTTTTTTTTAAGGGTTATGTAAAACAGAAATGAATATGCAAAGGAAAACAAATTATGGGTCAATTAATTGGGGGTCACAATACATCTGGACCATCCTGTAGATGAGGCCCGTTTACAAAACCTTTCCATTTCCTCCGCTCCAACAGCACATGTGAATTGTGCTGTATACGCTCTCCCCCCTGCTTTACCAGTGCTCTCGGCGTCACTTCAGCAAGGCTGTTATTTATTTTCTGTAGTAAATAAAAATGCGTATTTGAAAATAAGTTAGACTATGTTGAAGTAATTTTTCTGTTCTGAACTGGTGTTGTTGTATGAGTCTACTTTTAGAGCGCCGTGTGTGAGAATATATATGGTGTCTTGCATGTGCAATTATAGCGGTATTGTCTAAACCAACAAATCAGGAGCTGAACGTGTGGTCACATTATAGTTTAGACCAGGGGTCCGCAATCCCCGGGCCGCACAGCAGCAGGAGGTGAGAGCGGTGAGTCCGCACGTGGCTCGTCCCCATTATTTTATTATTTACCACTTCCATCTGCGCCTCTTTCTCACACTGTGCACTTGTCACAGTCACAGTTTTGGTAAGCCCACAAGCTCTAACCCCCTAGTAGCCACAATGAGTAAGCCCACAAGCTAACCCCTAGTAACCACAATGAGTAAGCCCACAAGCTAACCCCTAGTAGCCACAATGAGTACGCCCACAAGCTCTAACCCTAGTAGCCACAATGAGTAAGCCCACAAGCTCTAACCCCTAGTAGCCACAATGAATAAGCCCACAAGCTCTAACCCCTAGTAGCCACAATGAGTAAGCCCACAAGCTCTAACCCTAGTAGCCACAATGAGTAAGCCCACAAGCTATAACCCCTAGTAGCCACAATGAATAAGTCCACAAGCTCTAATCCCTAGTAGCCACAATGAGTAAACCCACAAGCTATAACCCCTAGTAGCCACAATGAGTAAGCCCACAAGCTCTAATCCCTAGTAGCCACAATGAATAAGCCCACAAGCTCTAACCCCTAGTAGCCACAATGAGTAAGCCCTCAAGCTCTAACCCTAGTAGCCACAATGAGTAAGCCCACAAGCTCTAACCCCTTGTAGCCACAATGAGTAAGCCCACAAGCTCTAACCCCTAGTAGCTACAATGAGTAAGCCCACAAGCTCTAACCCTAGTAGCCACAATGAGTAAGCCCACAATCTTTAACTCTAGTAGCCACAATGAGTAAGCCCACAAGCTCTAACCATAGTAGCCACAATGAGTAAGCCCACAAGCTCTAACCCTAGTAGTCACAATGAGTAAGCCCACAAGCTCTAACCCCTAGTAGCCACAATGAGTAAGCCCACAAGCTCTAACCCTCTAGTAGCCACAATGAGTAAGCCCACAAGCTCTAACCCTAGTAGCCACAATGAGTAAGCCCACAAGCTCTAACCCCTAGTAGCCACAATGGGTAAGTCCACAAGCTCTAACCTCTAGTCGCCAACATGAGTAAGCCCACAAGCTCTAACCCCTAGTAGCCACAATGAGTAAGCCCACAAGCTCTAACCCCTAGTAGCCACAATGAGTAAGCCCACAAGCTCTAACCCCTAGTAGCCACAATGAGTAAGCCCACAAGCTAACCCTAGTAGCCACAATGAGTAAGCCCACAAACTCTAACCCTAGTAGCCACAATGAGTGAGCTCACAAGCTCTAACCCTAGTAGCCACAATGAGTAAGCCCACAAGCTCTAACCCCTAGTAGCCACAATGAGTAAGCCCACAAGCTCTAACCCTAGTAGCCACAATGAGTAAGCCCACAAGCTCTAACCCTAGTAGCCACAATGAGTAAGCCCACAAGCTATCCCCTAGTAGCCACAATGAGTAAGCCCACAAGCTAACCCCTAGTAACCACAATGAGTAAGCCCACAAGCTATCCCCTAGTAGCCACAATGAGTAAGCCCACAAGCTAACCCCTAGTAGCTACAAAGAGTAAGCCCACAAGCTCTAACCCCTAGTAGCCACAATGAGTAAGCCCACAAGCTAACCCCTAGTAGCCACAATGAGTAAGCCCACAAGCTCTAACCCCTAGTAGTCACAATGAGTAAGCCCACAAGCTCTAACCCCTAGTAGCCACAATGAGTAAGCCCACAAGCTAACCCCTAGTAGCCACAATGAGTAAGCCCACAAGCTAACCCCTAGTAGCCACAATGAGTAAGCCCACAAGCTCTAACCTGTAGTAGCCACAATGAGTAAGCCCACAAGCTCTAACCCCTAGTAGCCACAATGAGTAAGCCCAAAAGCTCTAACCCTAGTAGCCACAATGAGTAATCCCACAAGCTCTAACCACTAGTAGCCACAATGAGTAAGCCCACAAGCTTTAACCCCTAGTAGCCACAATGAGAAAGCCCACAAGCTCTAACCCTAGTAGCCACAATGAGTAAGCCAACAAGCTCTAACCCCTAGTAGCCACAATGAGTAAGCCCACAAGCTCTAACCCCTAGTAGCCACATTGAGTAAGCCCACAAGCTCTAACCCCTAGTAGCCACAATGAGTAAGCTCACAAGCTCTAACCCCTAGTAGCCACAATGAGTAAGCCCACAAGCTCTAACCCTAGTAGCCACAATGAGTAAGCCCACAAGCTCTAACCACTAGTAGCCACAATGAGTAAGCCCACAAGCTTTAACCCCTAGTAGCCACAATGAGAAAGCCCACAAGCTCTAACCCTAGTAGCCACAATGAGTAAGCCAACAAGCTCTAACCCCTAGTAGCCACAATGAGTAAGCCCACAAGCTCTAACCCCTAGTAGCCACATTGAGTAAGCCCACAAGCTCTAACCCCTAGTAGCCACAATGAGTAAGCTCACAAGCTCTAACCCCTAGTAGCCACAATGAGTAAGCCCACAAGCTCTAACCCTAGTAGCCACAATGAGTAAGCCCACAAGCTCTAACCCCTAGTAGCCACAATGAGTAAGCCCACAAGCTCTAACCCTAGTAGCCACAATGAGTAAGCCCACAAGCTCTAACCCCTAGTAGCCACAATGAGTAAGCCCACAAGCTCTAACCCCTAGTAGCCACAATGAGTCAGCCCACAAGCTCTAACCCTAGTAGCCACAATGAGTAAGCCCACAAGCTCTAACCCCTAGTAGCCACAATGAGTAAGCCCACAAGGTCTAACCCTAGTAGCCACAATGAGTAAGCCCACAAGCTAACCCCTAGTAGCCACAATGAGTAAGCCCACAAGCTCTAACCCCTAGTAGCCACAATGAGTAAGCCCACAAGCT